AAAGTGCTTCCGGTCCCTTTTGAAGCATTACTGGGTATATGCCATCAGGTCCCGGCGACTTATAAAGTTGAAATGAGTTCACAACCCATTTAATTTTCTTCAGATCTATCACCTTCTTTATCTCAAAAACTACACCTGACGATTTGATCTCCACAAACTGTATTTGAAAAATATATATCACATATTCAAGTGATTTATACTTCTAGTTGTTCTTAACATTAATATTTATATACTACAGGTAACCATAATTGAGACTACCTCCAAAAATTACCTGAACTACGTACCTGTTCAATTATGATCACCTATGAATTTTCATCAAGTAACGGCCGAATCAATCAGAAAACCTTCTTTATCATTTGCCAGTCCTCCCTAGATGCCCTTTTGGGGGTCTCCAGTTTTGAATTCGCCCAGGACTCCGGTGTTAGATTTGTAATTTCTGACCCGGGAAAGTGTACCAGGTATAGAAGTATCTTCTACCAGAGAGATAATCATTTTTGTATGCGCAATTCAGATATACCCGATTAAGAAGATAACCACAAATTCTTTCAAATTTACCTGTGTACTTATAAGAGACAGTATTCAGTGGGTAGGGTTCAGCCACTAGGCTTTAGCCAGTGTTTGCAATGTAAGCGCAGAAAATGAGTTTACGTACGACATCACATTATAATCCTCTAAAATTATCAATGTTTTTTCACTGTGCATGTTATATACATATAAACCTTCCTTCTAAATCACTCTATCTGGTAAAAAACCCGCATCAAAATTCGTTGCGTAGTTTTGAACATCCAAGATAGAGACAGACAGCAAAAAGCGACTTTGTTTCATACCATGTAGTGTCTAGAGGAGATCGTTTCATATTTCAAACTTTCAGACATTCACTTTAGTTTGTTTTTAGTTCACCTATAATATAGTGACTTCTTCATAATTGTCAAATGTGTTAAATTTGTGTTACTCTTGTTACTCAAGATTTATCAGAAAAATTAGTTGAATAACATATTTTCAAATACTCAAATTCTGAGTTCCATGGAGAGCTGAAGTAGAANGCAATTTATAGGTGAAATTTTTCGAGTGTGAATAATTTGCTGACCAACTGAAGGAGGTTCTCCATTGATTTTTTTTATCGAAGTTCAAAATTGCATCTCTCTCGTTATGCCGCCTTTGAGAAAAGTTGAAACTGCCTTTTTTGAGGGTATTTTGTTCAATTAATTTTTCATCGATATAACTTTTCGATGAAACTTCATAATTTCACTTCTATTGATATTTGATATTTTTATAACATAGGGTTGCAAATGCCTGTTTTGAGATTTAGTTATCTCTGGTAACCTTTGTTAACTATGCGTATATATTTTCTTAAATAATTTTCTCTCACATTTTGTACAGATTTTAAGTAGCAATGACAGCATTCCCAGAGAGATAAAATTATGATGTTTGATCAAAATATTTTGATTGGAATGCGTTCGTCAGTAAAATATAACTACCTCCGAAAGGAGCAGATCTAACTATTCTCATATATTGGTGACAATAGCAACATAATGTTTCTGACACAGAAAATACTTGTTCGCCTCATTTTTTGGTTGTTCTATCCACAATGCTGCAGAAGTTACCTCAAAGACAAAGGTCTTCTGACTTTTACCTACATTTATTTGTACAAACTTTTAATTTTCGAATTGAAAAACAGAATGCATCTATAAATTTAAATCTGTCTTGTAATGTAATTTCTCATTGCAAATATTTCAATAGCATACAATACATATCAATTAGTTAATATGCAAATTCTCCAGATATATGTGTGTTTCAGTGCTTTATAATTCTAAATGTGGCGTACTTTGTTATGAATCGTATAGAGGTTTCAATTTATCTAACTGATATGTAGAAACACACGTTTCCAACTGTTTCTGAAATTTCCATCTTCGAAAATCTTTTTTTGCAAGTATAAATGGTTATTTTTCGCCTTAGAACAATATCTACATATGGCCTACAAAGAAATAATTATCTATCATTCTCTTATCGACATCAAAATGTTTCTCATAAAATTTCCCATTCCCCGTGACTTTGTGTTCAATGTCACAGGTTGTTAATGATTAACAGCTGTTGATTTAATTACTATTATATCCCAGAATTCATTCGAAACACTTCCTAGTCAGGCACGTGATAACCTGACCGCAGTTTTTCGCAATTCTTTGTTTACAACTCAATGAAATGTCATGACTATATACGTTGTATATACAAACGACAAAAGGTTGGTGCACATCGTGTGATGGTGTTTACGTAGCAGATTTGATCTTAATAAATAAAACAAACAAAACGAATCGTTGAAATTTAATATAAATAAAAGTTATTGAACTCACAAAAAATGTTTTTCAAATAACTTAAACAACGCATAGAACTTATTGTAACGGTATCATTTATTCATTTATTCAACGGCAAAGCCAATTCACAAAAACATATTTAACAAAGTGTGGTGAACTATAAAGTATTTTTGAATGCTCATGTCTGATGTCTACATTACAATTTACAATTTACAAAACATTTAGCAAAGTGTGCAATACCAAATATTGATTAATCTTTATATCTAGTGACTATATTACTAAAAGATGAAACTCCCACTTACATGTAGATCAATCAATTCATATGTTATGATAATTTCATTCAGTTTCATTCAGCTTTTTATAATCAACAGTTATGTGAATATGAAATAAAATAAAACTCATTCAGTATCTTTTATTTTTCTCTTGTCAAATAAGAATTTCATTGATAATTGCCAATCAATAATTACCTATTGGCAGCTAAATGTGAAAAGAGTATTTGCCGATTCAAATGTGATTCGTTCTGATACTTGTTCGGAAACCTGCTCAAGATGGTAATCTGTGAAAATTCAACTGTGTTTTGTGATTACATTATAAATATCATAACAAGAATGTTTCAGTTTTATATAGATCAGTCAATTCATATCTTGTGATAATTTTATTTATTTTCATTACTCATACAGCTTTTAATGATTATGATAGACAGGTGAAAATTATCCGTAAATTGTGAATAGCAAGTGAAATTTTGTCAACTTGATTATTTCGATTATAAAAGAGCTGTCATTCATATTGTGTACATACCGTACATTATACGAACGGGAAACAGGCACCTTTCCCAATCACCAAAACTTCAATACTTTTCTTGACGCGCGTTTTACCATCCAATTTGGCGTCTTCAGGAGATGAAAAACTAATTCCCAACTGTAAAACTTGTATATTAGGTATATATAACAGGGCATACGTTCAGTTTCCGATTCAAATTAATGATTTCGTGTAGAAATTCCCGAAAAATTTTCTCATGCAAGTTTCCAAAAATGTCAACAGGATGTTTCGTGAAACGGTAAACAATGAGCTGTTTGGAATGTGACCTTGTTGTTTACCTTTGTCAAATTTTCTAAAACCAATTTAACATTAACTCAATCCAGCCTACGAAGTTGAAGTTAACAGAAATGAAACTACCCCATCCAATAAACCCAACCTATAGTCATCATTTTTATTTGGTACCTTGGGAGCTGTCTGACTGGTCCATTTAGTCCAAGTCNAACTATTTTGAGTTCTACAATTTTATGAAGGGGATGATTATCGATTATTGGTACATAGAGATATATTGAACTTCCATATGATGAAGATGTAGCGATAGCTAATCATTTATATCAGTAAGTAGCCTTCGAAATTAACATCGCATCAAAACTCTTTCTGATGTGTTGACGTCACAAGTCTTTACATGGAGCGCGCCAA